ATTTTTATGGGGGGGGTATTGTAAATAGATTTAAATAAAAGAATTGAGATAATATATACTTTTTACTTTAATAAATCTCTCATTAACTTTGAACTTTTGCGCAAATAAATAAGAATATCTTCTAATTCAATCTGCGCTAATAGTTTTCGTTCAACTGACATAATTAAAAACTCTTGGTCAATATTAGCTTTCAGTCTATTTTTTATAATTTTTAATTTACTAAATGTTTTCTCGCAATCCTGCATAAATAACAAAGTTAAAATGTATTCATATGCCAAAAATAAATTAGCGTCACTTGTATGCATATTGTATCTTTTAAGAATTTCATACACGCATATTAAACACATGTTACATTTATTATCACACTCTGAGTTATTATCATATTGTAATATTCCATCTTCATTCGACTCCTCACTTGTACATACAATATCATCATCCGTTTCATTTAATTCTACTATTAAATCTTTGAATACACTGGTAAATGAACACAATTAGTTACGTAATTTACCACTCAATATATTTGCCAATTGTGCCAGTTTTTCCAACTTTTCAGAAATACCTTTACTATTTATTTCATCCAAATATTGCACATTTAAAATAAACTCTCTATTCGCAGAAAACAGTTCCGACAAGCTGTTTATAATTTGATCAATTGTAGGACGAAATACTTCGACCCTATAAAGGCCAATCGATTCTTGAATACGTTTATCTTGGCCTTCGTTACTATATATTCTCTTCGCCATCCTATTCAATTTTTTGGTAGAGCATACTATACTCAGATACTCTCCTGGAGCTTTAAATATGACAGTGTTTTATTTAAATTAGAAGCCCTTTTTAATTGCTTTATTTTGAATTGATGTAGTAATAGTTGTTAATGATACAGAAGACTTAGCATCTTCTATCATTTTCCATGCTGACAAATTATCTAAATTTTTAGATTGAAGATATAATGACAGTGGTCGGCCCATTATTTCAAAAATTTCCAAATATATTTTAGCTGTTAGATTTTAAATTTAAATAAATTAGCGATCAAAGACTAAGCTTCTGATAAGGTTTTACCTCAAATGATTTATTATCTATTATAAATTGAAGCACACTTATCGTTATAAGGAACTCTCTTTACCATATATCCATCTAAGGGCTTTATCACGTGTCCACCATTTTGTTTCACCTATTTTTTCAGCCTTCTCAACTTATTTTGGCCAGATGAATTATTCTGTTTCACCCAAGCATCTATTCTTTTATATGATTCACCAAAGAAAGTAGCTAGTCTGTTCAATAATCAAAATAAATTTCTGCCTTCGATATTATCGCATGAATCACATGTGCAGAGATTTAATATGTGACTAACCCCAAATTTACAAACTACCTGGAGTCTCTTGTCTAATAAGAGCTTGCAACCCAACAAATTCACCCGCATATTTGCAGCACCATCAAATGATATATTTCCCATTTGAATTCCATATTTTTAAAAGCATTCACTCATGATATCAAAAATCTTTTTCCAGAAGAGTTTGTAACTTTTGTAAGTGCTAAAAGCCTTTCTGTTATTTTGATATTATATATATATATATATATATATCGTAAGTTGATTGATCATAAACGCTAATGTCTTGAATATCATGTATTTGCAAACTAAACCATTTGTTACCAATCTCCTTTTTTATTAAATTCCTGATTTGATCAAAAACAACATCAATAACTTTGTTAACAGTTGTTTTTGACAACAAGGTTATGAGCCTCTTTCCTTCGATTTTGATTTGTTAGAGAGTTTAAGTTTTTCTATTCTACATTTGCTCTTTAAAATAGCTTTCTCTAAATGATCTCTGAGTATTTGATCATTTTTTGATATAATAAAAATCATTTCCAGGAAATTCCCATGATTCAAATTTTTATTTTCAAAGTGGCTACGTGTTTTAGTAGCATTTGATCCTCTGTAAGTTTTGTTTGCCTTAAAACTTTATTATCTAGAATATTTATTTTATTATGTGGACATTTATAAATTTGTCGATTTTTTCATTTAATATTTTAATACATTGAGCTTAGTTAGTAATAAAATAACATAAATTAACACTCAATTAATTAATATTAAAAAGAAACATTAGAAAATCAAATTGATCAAAAATTTATTTTATTAAAATTATTATACCTGGGTTTTATTTAATTTTAATTGATTAAGAACAAGAAATACAATCACAAATGTTTGCTATATTATATTTCTACAATAAATCAATGTATAAAAATATAATATAACAAATTAATCAAAATTTAGCTTTCACTCTACTCAAGCGGAATTGTTTTCACTTTATTTGAAAAAAATAACAAAGAAACTCACGTGATAATGATGTATAGCGCCAAGCGTGATATTTTAAGCATAACGACATGATAATTCTCAAGGAATGTGATATTCAAATAATAGAGATATCATTAAAAATAAATAAATGATAAGAGAAATGTGAACATAATAAAAATAATTTTATCATTTTTGATATTTTCCCCTGATCGTTCTTAAAAATCGACATTTTCTCTCGGCCTCGTGGGCAAAATACCCACCGTCTTATGGCCAGTTCGCTCCTGCCTTGTCATATTACTTTTTGAAATGATCGAGTTTTGAGTCCTATTAGTTGTGCCTGTCTTAGTTTCACTGAAATCTTTATCGTATATTTGAATATTAATAAGCGCTTGTTAATATTATCATCATCTGGCTGTCATATCTATATCATTTTATTTTGTTTGTTTTGTGTAGTATATTTCATAACAATTTGATATTTATTGTTATTATAATCGGGTTCATATTTTTCCATTTTATGAATATTTCAATTTATAATTTTACATTTTATTTACTTTATATATCATATTTCAATTTATGAATCAATTTAAATCTTTAAATAATTTATATTTATTCGCCTACAACTTTCCCCTCTTTGAAAATCTTGTTCCAATGTTTAGAATTAGCATGAATTTGAGGTGAAAGATTTAGGTTTAATAGAGAATATATGTTATAAATTATCATCCTTTCGCTTAATCAGTCCTCTGCTATTTAGCTTTTCATTACCTCGTCATGGATCATATTGGAGGACATAAGTGATTAAATAATAAATATTTATTTATCTTTGAATTATGAACTTGAAATTATTCTCTACTAAAATTTATTTTGGTTAAAATTTTTATCATTATTGTAATTTTTTAACTTTTTGTCTTATATTTATCATATTTTTGCATTTTTGGATATATCTTATCATATCAGCATTGTATTATTATATTATCATATTGGCATATTAAATTCATAGTCATTTTAGTGTTATATTATATAAGAATCAATAGTGTTGTAAACGAACGCGTTTGTGAACGAAGTTCGTTTTTTTTGAAAAAAATGGTGAACGCGTTCCTTTTTTAAGACGAACGCGTTCGAATTTAAGATTCGTTCAATTTTTAAACACCTTTTTATTTATTTGAAAAATTTAATATTAATCCAAATTTTTTAAGAAAAATGTCTTATATTTTATAATCAACTGTTTTTCCTTCTTTCAATTTTTTTTAACTCACCATTATTATAGTCAATTAATTTGAATATTATTGTTTATATTTTAATTTAATAGATTTGCATAAGCATGAAATTATTTTTTCATTTCAAAATCAGATGAATTAACATTACCATGGCCCAAATATGAATATTTTACAGTAACATCCTATTCAATACTTACCAATTGTAAAATGTGCCCAAAAGTATTATATCAGTTTCAAAATCTTCAAATTCCAATTTAAAACTACATTTTATTTTAATATATTAATTATTTTATTTTATATAATATAACTATGTAAAATCATTAAATTTGAAGAAAAAATGTATTTAGGTTATTTGACCCTAACAATAACGATAGTTATTTTAAATTAAAAAAAATTAGCGGCATAAATTATGGTCAACTAATGATAGACGCATTATTAAAGGGATTAATAAAAATATTAAACATATTACTATCAAATTAATTACATATATTTTATTTTTTTTAAAGATTTGAACATGTATATGAAGATCAATATGTTCTTTCTGCAATTATACATCCAATATTCAAGTTTCAGTGGCCATAGATAAAACTTCCTCAGAAATAACCTATAAAAAATAAATTTAGAGCGTTATTGATGAAAAATGCATTGAAACTAGAAATAATAATGCAAGAACTGTTAATTTCGAGATATACTTGTTTGAGTTAAGGATGGATTGGAGGAGGATAACATATCTCAATTTTTTGAAGCAAGGACAAAACAATAAATGTTTTAATAAATTCCCCACGTTAAAATAGTTGTTGCAATCCCCTCATCTGCCTCTGTAGAACGCGTTTTTAGTATAGCTAATGCCGTATTAACTGCCAAATGTTCTATCTATCAGATGAAAATTTTGAAAAACAATTATCAATAAAATTTTATAAGAAAATTTTTTTTATAAATAAAAATATCTTTTTATTCACCTGGAAAAGTTTTAAAATGACAATTATTATAATTCCTATCTTTCAAAGGAAATATTTTCTCATATTAATTAATTACCTTTATTATAAAAATAAATATTGAAAGAAATTCTATTAATTAATTATCACTCATTTACTATTACCTTACCTAGCGTAAAAAATGTAACAATAAAAATCGACTCTGGCTTGGCCCCAGCCAAAATAAATTGTCAGGTTTATACTAGCCTAGCCACAAAAAATTGGCTAGGCTAAGCCGATTACGCATCTATACCTTTTAAATTATAATGTAACCTTTTTTATTTATAAAAATCTTATTAGATGGTTCCAGGATAAGATAAATGAAAAGTTCTTGATTTAATAAGAGTTAATACGGTCATTAGGTTATGAACGATCGTTAAAGATGGTTACGCAATGAATAACAAGTTGTTAGAAAATAAGAAGTTTGGGTAACAATCAAAAAAGGTATCGAAATATTATATATTTTCTTTTTCAAGAATTTTAATATAATACTTGAAAAAAAATATTATGCTGAAGTAGATCAACGTCAATCATCCCAAATCTTTGAAACCTTCGACATACATAGTAGTCTAATTGATAACGTAAGTAAGTACATCGAGACTGGAACAGACCCATTAAACGAACTCACATTGGATCAATCGCAAAATACTAAAGTCTCAATAATTTGTTTATTTTTTTATTTACATTAATTTTTGCACCTTTTAATTTAAGATAAATTACGAATTTAGAAAAAAGGATGGATATATTTTATTTTAATTAATATCCTTTAACCCTTTCGCGCCCAGCTATTACTTTTGACAATATAATTTTTAAATCAATTTATTTTTATATTTAAAAATACATTGATGTTTTTGGACTCGTTAATTTACAAAAAATATTTATCATAATTTCATATTTTATCATTAACCTGTCAAGATTATTATCTTATTATATCAAAATGCAAGTTTAAGAATTAGTTATTTTACTTGCCAAATTTCAATATTTTACATATAAATCAAAGGTATGTGATGTTATAATATATTATTACTAGTGTTTACTGTTTAAAATTTTTTTATCAACAATAAATATTTATGTGAATTATTAAGAAGAAGATTCCAATTGGCAACATTCTAATATCCTCATGCAATTTTTTCCATGATAAAAATGTTATAAAATATTTATAATATGATATATTATGACAATATAGGTTATTTTCCATTTAGGAAGCTACTATAATATTTGCAAAAAGTTAAGAAAGTGCAAATTTTTTCCATTTTTATGCACATTTTTTTAGATGACCTTAACATCTATAATAATAGAGAGAGATATCTCTGAAACAGACGCGTAGCCAGGAATTTTCTACGGGGAAGGGGGGAGGGGATAATTTTTTTATATTTAAGTGATTTATTTTGGAGCATTCAAAATTAGAGCTAATAACCTATAAAATTTATTAAAATTAATCATCATATAAAATTAATTAGAACTAATCATTTCAAAATTATGATCGAGTAAATAATAAAATATATTAAAAAATTTTAAATTTTAAGAACGAAATATATAATACGGATAAAAAATATTTGCAATATAAACCGGTATATAAATCACAATGAAATATAAAATTAATCATTTTATAAGGATTTAAAAAGTTAGTCAAAATATCATACATAAATAAAAATTATATTTTCTTTGCGATTCGCCAATTTTTTAATAATTTATTCTGTGTTGGAGATTAGATCTCGATGAATAATACTAGTATATTCAATCAATTTGATGTCATACTTTTGATATAGGTTTTTATTCTCTGTATTGAAGAAAAGGTCCTCTCATTTGTGCTTGTTACTAATTGGTATCATTGTCAAAATATACAATGATTTTAATAATTTAGAGAATTTATAAAATATATTTTAAAGTAATGGAGTATTATCTACAAAAATGAATCTTTTATTTATACTCTTTAAATTCTGAAATTAATTGGCCTTCAGATACATTTATTTCCTATGACTAAAATTTAGCTAAATATTTAATTTTTCAATATCAACATTTGTTATATCCTCAGATCAAAGGGAGTTATAAGATTTATTTGTAAATTGGATAGAGCCATTTGATAAATCACAAATCGTTCATTGATTTAACTCAAAATTAAATCCAAAAGTGGAAAAACGGTTATTTTATAGTAATCCTTAATTGAGTCCCCGTTAATATTGGAACGATTTGTTTAACAGTGAAGGTTTAGGCTTATGAATCTCAAAATTATAGGATTTTGCTTCCATCTCAACAATCACATAAATCTCGAGTTTTCTAAGTTGTAATATAATAATATTCGCGATTCTCATAACTTCAGCCAAATCCATTTTTTTGAAAAATATTGCATAAATTGTTGTATAATAAATAATTTATATATATATTCCAATAAAAAAAATTGGCAGTCATATTAAATCTAATCATGTATCCGCTTCAGATGAAATAACTGTTTCAGATGAATTTGATAAATAGGCTCTTCTAAATCCAAAATATGCTGTCCTTTGTCATATTTATAATTATCTTCGGCCCCTTTTATCCAGCCTTCGATCAGATCCCTTTTAATTGTTAAAAGATGAGCTTTATTATCATAATTCTTTATTTTACATATCAAATACACAGCATTATAAAATACACAAACGAATCTATATAACAAAAATAAACTTTATTTCCCATTGATGGTATTAATATTACAATCAGAATTATATAAAACAATAAAAATCAATATCATCTGGTAAAAATTACATAATCCAATTCCTTCTTCAAAACTCCCCAAAACAAATCATAATCTAAAAAATCCAAATGGATTGACATTTAATATATATAAAATTATATATATATATTTAAAATAAAAATTCACAACTACAACACTAATGACTTGTTCTTCTTACATTTTTTTATTTTTGTATTAAAACATGTCCAAACTAGTGTATTTTTAATACTAATAAAAGTCTACTATGACAAGTGTATCATTATTTTAAGAATTGCACATATAAACGAATATATATTCCATATATAAAACTATATCAACCCATCTTTAACTAGTTAGGATTTTATATGTTCTTCTATTCTAAAATAACAATAATTATTTATTATTTTAAATCCTATTTTTTTATAGCTTAATAATTTTGTCTAAATATTTCCTATAAAATTTGGTATATTTATGATAAATACTTTTATGAAATATCACACTGATTATTGATAATTTATGGTCAAACCATACGAATCAATATTTTTGGCTAAGATTAATTTTACTGTTTTATTTGTGATAAGAATAAAAATTTTGATTTACTGGTCTTAGAATACCTTTTAATTTGTAAGAGAAAATAATATTATTGGATAAAATTTGAAAATATAAATTAATCTTATATCAAGATATAACACTTTTTATTTGGGGTTTTGTAAAAACCTCCCATGATCGCGAAGATACTTTTGGAATTTTTTCCACCTTATTAGCCAAGGGTTAATTGCACATATGAAATTATTATATATTGCCCTTATGTTACAATCAATTCGCATAATCAATTGATTTAGTCATTATGCTTAATATTTTATATAATTGTCTGAAAATTTATATGGAGGTATTCTACGCGCGCGCTGAAATGTATTTCTGACAAAACAAATTATTAAGATATAAAAAACATGCTAAATATATATTTAAAGTTTGCAAATAATAATAGCCCTATCATTTGTTAAGGACGGTTTTTTATATTTTAAAAATTTGATTTTGATGAAATTATATTAACATAGACTTTTTAGTCATTTACAATACTTAAGTGATTTTGCCTATTACACATACAAAATCAGGCATATTGGAATTATAGTTCACGTTATCTTGTATTATTTCATTTTTGTTAGGCAATTCATTTCATATTTTGAGACTAGATACACTTATCAATTATGAAAATTTCTTGGGCTTTGCAGAAATATCTTCATACTTATTTCATCAAAATGCCTCGAATTCAAATATTGCATATTTGTTATAAGCTCTTTATTCACTGAAAACATTCAGTAAAACTAGTGTTGTTAATTTGCTTGGTCGTAAAATTTACGACTCTTTTATGTGCTCAGGCCGACCCAGGGTACACCTGGGGCTTGGATAAATGAAAAGTAAGAAAAAATAAATCTCATTACACATTCTAAATTAATAAAGCTTTTAATCTCATTTTCTTACCATTTAAATTGTTTAAATTTGGGGTCTTTTGATTAAAATATTATCCGGCCCGAACCCTAATTTTTTTTAAAAAAAATTTACCGGCACGGCCAGAATCTATTTTTTACTTTTTTTTAACTATGTATATTTTTTTTTATAAACAAATCCCCCACATAATTTCCGATTACAGTGAAGTGAAACGAGTAATAGTATTTTTTTTTTAAATATATACAATATAAGGGGTAAAATAAAAAAGTAAAATTTTATTTTAATTCATATTGTAATTAAAGGACAAAAAATAAAGATTAAACGTCATGCATGTATAAATAATAGAAAGAAATTATTTTGTAAATTTATAATTTGTGATGAAAAATGGCAAAGTCTTATGATGCGTTTTTTTAATATTTTTGAAGTTGTTTATTAATAATTATTTTTAAGTTATTTACTTAGATAATTTTTTTTAAGAAAATAATAATTTTAAATATAAAAAGTTTTTTTATATTGAAGTTAAGTTTATTATATAATTATTTTTTTATAAAAAGTGTAAATTGAAGATTTTATATATTGTCGGTCTAGAATTGGAGTGCTCCACTCCACTCAACATTCAAAATTTTTGAGTTAGAATAGAAGTTGATAATAACTTAGTTATTCCCAATATATATATATGTCGTAATTTTTAATCATCACGGGTTTTAAAGGTATGACTAAAAAATTAGGGTTTTAAGTTAAGGAATGATAATACGGTATTATCACGTTTTAATCGTAATAAAGAGGAATCGTTTCATTTCATTATAATTTTATTGTTATTTATTAATTTTCAATGTTGTTTTTTTTGGCCTTATGAAATAAGATATGTCTAATATAGGGTATCGATCGATAGCTAATCAAAAGATTTATTCAACTAGAAGTCAATCTTTCCCCATGGGCGAGTCTAGGTCTGGGGGGTCAGGAATATTTTTATCAAAATAAAATATCGATATGGGTATCAAATAATAGCTAATTTTAATATCTTTTGACTGAAAATCTTTATTCTTGGTCTTGATGGGTATGACTTTGTCTGGGGGGTGGATGGGGGAGGGGGTGAAATAATTTTTTTTGATATGGGTATCAAATAAAAGGTATTTAAAATATTTTTTTATTGTAATAATAATAATCACTCATAGAAGGCAGGTCTAGGTCTTGGGGGCTCATATTTTTATCAACACAAAATATCAATATGGGTATCAAATAAAAGCTAATTTAAATATCTTTAGATTGAAAGTATAATCTTAACTTTTTTATTTCCTTTTATAATAATTTTTATAGGAAAAAAGTCTACGAAATATATTTTTCCCAAGAGAAAATTGAAAAAAATTTTTGTTTATAGTATTTTTATCATTAATCCTTTCCTTAAAAAATAACAGATATCTTCCAATATAATGAACATTATATTAGATGAAAGAAAATATAAATAAATTACTCATGACATTAACATTATTGAAAATTTAAAATGAAATATTTTAA